TGGGTTGCTTCTACATTTTAGCCATTGTGAACAACATTGTTATAAACATGGATTTAGAAACACCTATTCAAGTCCCTGGTTTCAATTCTTTTGGACTTGAATAGGTGTTTTGATTTTTTTTTTCTTTTTTTTTTTGAGACAGGCTCTCTCTATGTAGTCCACACTGGCCTTGAACTCACTATGTAGGCCAGATTGGCCTCCAATTCACATCGATCCTCCTGCCTCTGCCACCTGAGTGCCAGGATTATGGGTGTGTGCCATCATGCCTGACTTTCAAAAGTTTTTGCATTGAGACAGAGTCTTTCTAAATTCCCCTGGCTGGGCCCAAAGTTGAGATCCTTCTGTACCTCCTAGCATGTTGGGATTGCAGGCATGCACACCACGCCTGGTGACTGTGTTTTTTAAACTGTTGTACTTTTGAGGATGGGACTGAAGGCCTCACACACGCTAACTAGCACTACACCACTGAATTACACTCCTAGCAATGTTCACAATGTTTATTGTAGTTTGTGGTGCTAGGAATCAAACCTGGGCCCTCACACATTAGGTAAGCATTCTACCACTGAGCTACATCGTCATCCCAGAAAGGTTTTTAATTTTGATGAAGTCCAATTTGTCTATTTTCTCTGGCTTTCTATTTTGCTTCAACAATAATGAATAGTAGTAAATAATATGATTATCATTCTTTTTTGATTTAGTGGGAAAAGGAGGAGGAAGGAAGAAATGGTAGGGGCAAAAGGCAATCTATTATGGTTTGTTTCCATGTCCCCCCAAACCCTCATGCAGTCATGGGGCGGGCTTCTAGATTTATGATTGATCCATGGTCCAATGCTGGGATTATGGGTGTGAGTGCTACCCCTGCCCTGGGGTGAGTAGTTTGCATACAATGTAAGGGAGAGAAAGAGGCTGCTTGCCCACTCCTCCCTTTTGCTCCTGGTGCTTTTGCTATCTTCTGCCGCCATGAACATTTGCCTTCTGCCATGTGCCACTCTGCCTTGGAGCCAGCCAAGTACGGACTGAAATCTCCACAAACTGTGAGCTAAATAAACCTTTCCTTCGTTAATTCTGGATGTCGGGTATTTTGTCTCAGCCACGAGAGAAAAGTAACCAGACACATTCTAAATAGATTCAAGTTTATTCAGTAAAGAAGCAATTAGGACAACCAGAAAAAAGTAATTTTCACACAAAGGGATGACACAGAAGTGGCATATATACAGTCTGTGTGTGTGTGTATGTGCAGGTCTGTGTGTGTGCATATGTATAAAGCATGGACTGTTGTAAAATCAAGGCAGAAACCAAATGCCTGGAAGAATGAGAGCAGTCTTTATAGAGAAAGAAGATAAGAGCATCAGGAATGCCTGGCCAAGAAGTAGGGAAGAGCAAACGGTATGAGGAACAGCAAATAAAAATAAGTGCATACATTTATGGCCCAGTTTGTGAAACAGAAATGGTTTTTCTATGGCTGGAATATGGACAAAATTGGGACAAGCTATGGGAAATGTGGGAGAGTGACAGGCTCAGGTCTGATACAAGAGCCTTAAGTGGTAGTACAAAGAATTTGGAATTTGATAACATGGGCAATGAAGGGTCATTAACTTAAATATTTTTCCTGTGTCCCCAAATAGTCCATGTTCATTATAGAACGTTAGGAAAACCCAATAATGAAGTAAAAATCACAACTAAAAGCATAAAATATCTTTATGTAGGGGGAAGCTATCAACTTTACTTTGGAAGGTGCTCTTTGGAAAGGTCGTCCAGTCACCATGGAGAGAGTGGTGGGGAACCTATGGCACGCATGCTGCAGAGGGCATGCAGAGCTCTCTCTGTTGGTGCACGAGCCAAATCACCCCAGCCACCAGGCATGGGCTAACAGTTGTTTCTTCTAAACTAGAACCTCAGTATTCAGGTTTAATTGCAGTGTTCCCACTTTGCAATAAATAAGTGGGCTTTGGGTTGCAGTTTGGGCGATCATCTCTGAAAGTTTCTGCATCACTGATTTAGAGGCTGAGAGAATGGAGAGATCAGGTGATAGGAGGTGGATTCGAAGGCTGCTGCAGTGGTGCTCATGAGGGATGAAGGTCTAGAAAAGTAGCAATGGAGATGGAGAAGTGGGGACAGATCTGAGTCATTCCTGAGCAGGAATTGAGTAAGTCTAGCGACTGACTGGCAATGACAGGTAAGGGGAGAAAGAGTACGGGTGACCCTGAAATTTCTAACTTGAGAGAATGGAACCAGTCAGGCTAGTCAGCTATGACCTGGCAAGACCAAACTTGTGAAATAATGGGACCCAGGACTGCTAAAACGTAAGGGGGCTGCGTCCACACCAAGGTTTGGAATAAATGATGCAGAGTGAGTGAGAATGAGTGAGAAGCCCCCTCCTCCCCCCCGCCCCCAGGACTTCCAAAGCTGGGATATTCTTTGCTGATGGATTTCAGGGAATTTTAAGAATTCTGCCCAGGATTAATTAGGCATTTCTAGGGTGATGAATATAAAACCCCCAATTCCATTGTTAATGAGAAAAGAATCACTAAACTCTGTTAAAAACATGTTATTTGCCAAACCTAGTTACGGATATGGGGGCTTATTCTGCGATTCTCTTTATTACTATGTACATTCTTTTTCATTATAAAATTTATAAAGAAAATAGTTAGGTAATTTTATCGTATTTGTTGTACTACAATCTCGTCTACTCACCACCAAACATTCATTATGTGCCAGGTAGTGTGGCATTCTGTGCCAGGTAGTGTGCTAGCTGATCTAGGGAACACAAAAATATATAAAGTGGTACAAGTGCTTTCAGAATGGTAACAATGTGCAGAAGATTTCAAAGCTGGAGGGAGTTCTTTAAATGGGGGTGATTTACACCATTTATCGGGGAGGACAGATTAGAGAACATGAATTTCTTTTTTCTATTTTTTGGTACTGGGAATCAAACTCAGGACCTCACACTTTCTAGACAGGTGCTGTGCCCCTGAGCTATATCCCCAGACCTAGAACATGAATTTTTAGGGCCCATTTTGCATAGTTTAATGGGGAAGCTCTAAAACTATAATGTGGAGAGGTACTCTGATATCCTCTTTAATTGTGGGGTTCAAACCTACCTCCTTCTTACTGGGTGGTTTTTATTTTTTTGGTCTTTTTGAGACAGTCTCGCTATGCAGTTCAGGCTGGCCTCCAATTCGCAGTGATCCTCCTGCCTCAGCCTCCCGAGTGCTGGGATTACAGGTGTACACCACCATGTCTAGCCTTACTGGGTGTTATTAACTCTGCTCAGTAGCCAGGAAAAGGAGGCTAAGAGAAGTTTCATGCTGTTTTAGTAGCTTTAAAAATTTGGTTTTGGCCAGGGATATAGCTCAGTGGCATAAGCCCCTGCCTGGCAAGCGCAAGGTCCAAAGTTCGATTCCTGGTACCAAACAAACAAACAAAAAATTTGATTTTGGAGCTGCATGTGGAGGCACATGCCTGTAATCTCAGCTACTCAGGAGGTTAAAGCAGGACAGTCACGTTTGGGGCCAGCCTGGGCAATTTAGGAAGACCCTGTCTCAAAGAAAAATAACAAAGGGCTGGGGATGTAGCTGGGTGGTAGAACATCTTTCAGTTCAATCCCCAAAACCATGGGGTTAGGGATATGTTTGGTTTGGGGCCTGAGGATATAGCTCAGTGGTAGAGCATTGACGTGTCCAGGTCCTGGGTTCAATCCTCAGCACCTCCACCCCGGGTTTGAACTTAAACACTGGATATGACTCTGATTCCAATAAAAACTTCCATATTAAAAAAATGAAAAAAAAGAAACCCCTGAGAATTAAACCCAGGGCCTTTGCACTGAGCTACATCCCTAGTCATTTAAAAAATGTTTATATTATTTTGAAACAGGTTCTTATTAAATTGTTCAGGCTGGGCTCGATCTTGTGATCCTCCTGCCTCAGCCTCCCATAATGCTGGGATTACAGGCACGCACCACCATGCCTGGCTTGGCAAAAGGCTTTTAAAAAGTATTATGACTCCAAAGCTGCCATGGGAAAACTTCACTTCAACTACTCTTTTTAATCTGCCCAGGTTTTCAATTTACAAGTCAGAAAACTCATACTATTTCCAACCTTGACTGCCTTAGGGTAACTCGGTTTAACCACTCAGATGTTTCCTCATCAGCAATAAAACTGTCTTGTCACTTTCACAGTCAGTGAGAGGCCAAAGTAACAAATGCAAATATTCCTGGAAAACTATAAACACTTGACCCTTAAGTGAACCATTACTATTATTCTCGAAGTCTAATTCACAACGCTGGATATAATTCACTGCTGAGTAAGCATAAAGTACCTAGACTTTAAGCTTTCCATTGCCTCTGCATCAGCACAAACAAAAAAAACTTCCTCTCAGGCTTCACCTTGTTGACGGCTCCAAGCCCCTCCTTTGTCTACTTGTCCCGCTTGTTTTTGTGAAGTCGTGCACCGAGATCACCACCTTCCCCAAAGGAGCAGAGGATTTCCCGAGACATACAGCAGCTTGACATTCAGCACTGAGCGAACTCCAAGCTACAACAGCAGCGGAAGGTGCAGAGATGAATAAACGGAGCCTGTGACTGCAGGAGGGCACGCGCGCCACTCGAGCAGCAGGGGGCAGTGGAGGCCGACGCGGCCGAAGCCGGGATGGACGCGTCCCCGCGCGCCGGTGCCTGCGGCTTGGAAGGTAGCCCTTCCGCCGCTTCCCCTTCTTGGTGCCTGGAGAAGGTGAGACTGCGCCAGTACTACAGTGAGTGCACCCTAGCGAGGACTGGAGACTCCCAAGGCTTCGCGCTTCTGCTCCCTCTTAAGGAGCCACTACGCCCTCCAGCGGAGGAAGCGCGGCCGAGCTGCAGAGGGACGCCCAGGTCGCCATGCCTCCTAACGCCCGCCTCCTAGGTGCACCGGAAGGCTGCGGGCCTCGCCTTCCTCCGGAGTCCCGCCCCGACGCCGCCCGTCCCGTGGCGCCGATTGGCTGGCGCCTGTGCGTGAGGACGCTGCGTCGCGGGGCGGGGCGGAGGAGCCCTGTCTGCGGCGCCTGAGCCGTGTGTCCCTGGCCGACGCCCCCGCTGTCGCGCCGCTTCCAGCTTTTGCCTGCTTTTGTACACGTGACGGTCAGGGCTTCGGGCCTGCTCACGCCGCCGGGCGTCTCCGCCGAGCCGCCTAGTCCTGCAGGCGGCTCTTCTCGACCGGGCCGGGTTGCGGGGAAGATGGCGCCGGCGCCTCTAGGCGTCCAGGACGAGCAGCTCTTGGGGTGCCGCTCCGCACCCCTCTCCCGGCTCCTCTTCCTCGCCCAGGCGGTCCTGCTGCTGCCCGGCGCCCGGGCCGGCCCCTGCCCCGCACCCTGCTCCTGCGGCGCCGCGCTGCTGGACTGCAGTCGCAGGAGGCTGCCCGCGCAGAGCTGGAGGGCGCTGGCGGGCCCGCTGCCCCCCGACACAGCCAGCTTGTGAGTAGCGCGGCCGAGTCCTTCACGGGGGACAGCGGGGTCAGGCCGGGTCGGGACCGCGGGTGTCGGAGGAAACTGCCCTTCCGATGCTGTGAGCTTTGGGGTCGTGGGAGCCTGGAAGAGCCGGCGTTAGTTTTTAGCGACTTGTGTGAGGACCGCGGGTGAGAGTCCCCTGGCCAGGGAGTCTGATTTTCTGCACTGGGAGGATTGGCGCGGGGATATCGCATGTTGAGGACTCGGAGGGTTCTGCACTACCACAGTATGTGGCTTAGGGGCGGGTCGGACATGGAACCTCTTTCGGTTGTATCGTTTGTCATGTACCTGATCTTGCACCGTCCGCTGGCACATGATTTTGTAAACACGGTCGCCAAAGACGCGTGAATTGTCTTTTGTCTCTAGTTACAATATCAGCACATTTTGTGTTGCAGTTTTGATACTTGACAGGTTTGAAAGTTTCATCACGTATCAGGAGATTCAGTGGTAACCAAGAATATATTTATTTATTTTTATTTATTTTTCGAAACGGGGTCTCGCTATGGAGTTCCTGGCGATCCTCCTGCCTCAGCCTCCCGAGAACTGGGATTACAGGCCACCATGCCCAGCTTCATGAGTATCTCTTTAGGAGTAGCATTCTTGAATTGATTTAATGTATAAAGTAAGGAAGGGAAGTACTTTTTCCAGAACCATGTGATGCTTTTAGTGTTTTCAGTGTATTTTCTGTGGCAAAGAACCCCCAAATCAGGCCTCTTTGTTTATGTATGCTACGTAAGTACGCTGATTGAATGAATGAATTCTGGAGTCTCCACTGTTGAATTTTCACTTTGACAGGCTTTTATTAGCTAGTGGCACCTGAAGAGCTCATTAGTCTGAGTCAGCTTAGTGGCTTTAGGAATAACAGTAGGTATTAAATACTGCAATTATGGGGATTAACTACCAACATACAGTTACTTCTTGGCCACTAACTGAGCAACACAATTATTAATTTAATACAGTCGTCCCTACAATAAATCACTAGCCAGGTGTGGTTGTGCAAGCCTGTAATCTCAGCACTTGGGAGGCTGAGACAGAGGATTGCTGTGTGTTCGAGGTCAGCCTAGGCTACACAGTGCGTCGGAACTGTGGAGTGGCGAGCCTGTACTATACAGTGGACCGTTTTTCAAAAAGAAGTCATCACTAAAAGGAACATGTTAGAGGGCTGGGGATTTAGCTCAGCGGCAAAAGTGCCTGCCTGGCAAGCGCAAGGTCGTGAGTTCGGTTCCCGGTACCGGAGAAAAACCAAAAAAAAAAAATAAAAAATAAAAAAAAAGGAACATGTTAGAGTGCAATGAAAATATGAGGGGCTGTTTGGATTTTCATTGGAAATAGAAGGTCTCTAGAGAGATGAGTATGTATATGCACATAAGTATTTACAACTAGGTTAGCATAAGTGGGAAAGAAAGCTACCTTACATATTCATTGAGGAAATTAACCAAGTATTGTACTAAACAGAATTGTAGTATAATCAGTAGTGGCACTTGTAGCTAACGGGTCCTTTTGACTCAAATTATATTTAAAACTTCATATCATTGTGCAGTGCTGTGCATCTTGATTGCAGCAAAAGCCTTTTTCTAAGAAATTCTTAGCACAGCTACCTGACTATGACGATAAATCTGGCTCAGGTTTAAAAACAATACAACTTCATGTAGCTGTAATTGAAGTAAATGTGGCCTACTTTTAGGATCCTCCATTGGTAGGTAAACTATAATTAGAAATGATTTTTATTTATTTATTTATTTTTGGTTTTTTCCCGGTACCGGGAATCAAACTCGCAACCTTGCGCTTGCCAGGCAGGCGCTGTGCCGCTGAGCTAAATCCCCAGCCCGTAGAAATAATTTTTATGTAAGATATATTTATTTTGTGTCTGTTTGATTTTTATGTAGTCCAGATGATTGCCTAAAACCAAGTAACACTCAGAAATTTTAGATGTCCTATAATGAAATTGACATTTTCAGTGGAAGGGAAATGCTTTGGAGAGCAGTTCTGTTACAGAAATATAATTGGATGGGTCCTACATTAGTAGAAGAGCTCTTAGAATGTTAAAAGATAGGATTGTGTTGTTTTAAACTGGAAAACAAAACATTCTTCAGCAGTTGCCATTATTCATAAAAACACAAGTACTCTTGGGTCTATGTAATATGAAATTTTAAAATACATACGTGATGCTCTAGTTTAGTAATTTATTAGTAATTTTAATTCAGATATTCAAACTAGCAGTCATTAAAATGATTGTGGGCATAATTCATTAATCTTTTTTTTTTGGTGGTGCTGGGGATGGAACTCCGGGCCTTGAGCATGCTAGGTGAGTAACACTCTGGTGCTTTGCAAGAGTGCACCCCATTGCCAATCCTGTTTTTTTTTTTTTTTGGTCCTGAGTATCAAACTCAAGACCTTGCAGTTGCCAGGCAGGCACCTGTGCCACTGAGCTATATCTCCGGCCCCCAATCCTGTTTTTTTGAAACCTAACATAGATACTATTTTTCTTTTCTCTAAATACTAGTATTCAGACTCAGTTCTTTGTATTACATTGTTCTGATTACACATGCATACATACAAGCTTTGGATGACCAAGTATATTAGTCCTTGTTTTGTCAAGCAAGAATGTTAAGACCCCCGCCCCCCAGTTGTTGTCATGATCACTTCAGGATAACGCTAAAAAATATTAAGAATTATATACAGTACTTGCCATAAAATATTTACTAATACATTTAGCTTTATGAAAAGCTATGTGTTAAGTCTTGTCCTTACTCTTTTCATTGCCCTTTAGACTGTTAAAACTCGGTCGTGGAGCACTATTTGGGAACAATATGTAATGTGTATTTTTTAATTGTATTGAAGGTTTTAACAGTTTATCTTCTTTATTCTGCTATATTGCGAAGTAGTAAACAGATGTGAGCCCACAAAATCTAGTGCAGTCTTCTAGGCACTTTTGTTCAGAAGATACTGAGTAAGAAAATCTGCATTAGGAGAAAGCCCTTGACCTAATAAAGATGTGATGCAGATCCTTAAAGGTGGTATTCACGCAGGTTTAACCTGGATCACCTTAGTATTTTAGATTGAGCCCAGCGTAATTCACTGATTTAAATACCTTTCGGCATTGTGAGCATGCCTGTTTGATCACACTTTCCCTAGAATTGATTATCATTGTTAAAATTTTTTTTTCTAATTTGAAATGAGAAAAATCGTATCTGTATCTCCTTCCTTTATACTGAGGATTGAACCCTGGGTCTTGCACATGCTAAACGTGTGTTCTGTCACAGAGCTACACTCCCAACTCTGATATTGTAATTGCTTTTTTTGCACAGGTAACTTGATTACCTTAATATTAACATTGCCTACGCTAATTTCATTGCTATGCATAGCACTTAATTTTATTTTATTTTATTTTTTTAATTTTAAAAAATAAAAGAAGAAAAACATATTAACAGACAGACATCCATTTACAAAACAGCCTAAGAACAATACAAACAAATAGAATTTAATTTTAAATGTGAGAACCACTTAAAAGAAATTGTGTTAAGTGTATCCATGAGAACTTTGATCTTCAGCCTTTCCCCTTTGGAACTGGGAATTGAACTCGGGACCTCACGCTTGCCAGGTGGGCGCTTGTGCCACCTGGCGAGCTATATCGCCAGCAACCTTTCCCCTTTTTGATATGATCTTGCTGTGCATGGGAGCAGTAGCTGAGCAGTTAGGAAAGATGAAAAGGTAAAAAGTAAGCTAGGGATATTAACCTTGCCTTTCACCTTGCTATGCAGCCTCATCTCAGCCTTCCTCCCTAATGAAATACATGGCAATGGCATGGCGATTTCTTTCTCTCTTTTGAGACAGCATCTTGCTGTGTAGTTCAGACTGGCCTTGAACCCACTATGTAGTCCAACGCTGACCTTGGAACTGATGGTGATCCTCCTGCCTCAGTTTCATGAGTTCTGGGATTGCAGTCATGTGCCATCACATCTGGTCACTTTTTTTCTTTTTTTAAGACAGTCTCTCTATGTAGTCCAGGCTGGCCTTGAACTCAAGGTGATTGTCCTGCCTCAGCCTCCTGAGTGCTGGGATTACAGTGCTGGGATTACAGGCATGCACCACCGCACCCCCAGCCAACATGGTATTTTTTTAAAAGTTGCTGTTTTGGGTGTTGGTGATCTAACCGGGGGCTTTGTACATGCCCAGCAGATGTTTGACCCTGAGCTACATCCTCAGCTCCTCCTCAGTGAAATGTGTGGATAGATTCTTGGCTACCCAAAAATTTTATCTGAGAACCTACAAATATGTCCTGTTGCTTTTATATGAGCAATAATTGAAATATTTTAGAAAACATAATTATAAAAGGTTCATTATCTAAAAGTCAAATAAATACGTAAAAATAAAATATTTCTTCCTCTGCCCCTTCCCTCCCATCTTTCTTTTTTTTTGTTTTTTGTTTTTTTTGTTTTTCTCCGGTACCGGGAACTGAACTCACGACCTTGCGCTTGCCAGGCAGGCACTTTGCCGCTGAGCTAAATCCCCAGCCCCTGAGCTAAATCCCCAGCCCCCCTCCCACCTTTCTGTGGTACAAATAGAAATTCATTTCATAGGTGAACATGGTGGGGCACACCTGCAATCTCAGCATGCGAGAAGCTTAGGCAGAAGGATTGCTGTGAGCTCCAGGCCAGCCAGAGCGACATAGTGAGACCTTGTCTCAAGACAAAACAACAAAAAAAATCATTTTATAGACATTTCGTATTGCTAGTGAATAAAATTTAGTGCTATTCTTGTCCCTCAGTGAGGCTTTAGTTTATGGTGATACTGTAAACCTCAAATGATACCCTGTAAACTCCAAAAATGTTTGGTTAACTAGTTTGTGCAGTTTGTAGAATAGTAGGAGTCAGATCTTTGTGGACAGGTTTACTGTAAGTTGGGAAAAGGCAAAAAATTGAAGGAATTTTAGTGGAACATCCTTCGCCCATCAGGCTTTGGGTACA